AAAATAAAAACTCTGATTCACTCTTGCATTACCAGGCTTAACTAGGGGAAAGATCTTCAGATTAATAATGATTTAACATTTAATTTCATGTCTCTTGATACTTTAAATCTATTTATATGTAAGCAACCTTTTTCTGAGTTTATATTTTATCCTTGAGTGTTTTGTACTTGTTAAAAGCAAGCTTGGGATAAAAGCTTAAAAAAAAATCTTTATAGGTTTTTCTCCTATAAATACTTAGGGTTATATTTTTGGGCCTATGGCTAAATCTATCTTGATCTTCTACAGGCAGTTCGTTTGGTTATTCAGAAAATTTTTATAAGTATCTGCTGTATGCCAAGCACTGATTTAGGCATTAGAGGTATATCAATAAACCAGGTGTGTTAAGTTTTCTTGTTTTCCTAGAATTTATATTTTACTGGTTCAGAGGAAAGGATAGAAAAGATAAAAAAATTAAAAAAAAAATAATAGATTGTGAAAAGTGTCATAAGAAATAAAAAAGATAGTGTGATAGGCAGTAGTTGGTTCAATGGGAGCTAGTTTAGGTAGGATGTTCAGATGAAATTGTAGTTACAACCTGAGAACACTGAGAAGAAGCCAGTATGTGAGGAGTAACATTTCAGATAGAGGGAATTACAAGTGCCAAGGTGGAGGGTGGTGGTGGTGGCGAGGTTGTTTTAGGAAGTATTAGAAGGCCTGTGTAGTTGGTTCATGTTAAGCATGAGTGTTCTGGCTACCTAGTGCCACTCTGATGAGAAATATACCACCAATGGGGTGGCCTTAACAAACAGGAGTTTATTCTTACAATTTGGAGGCTTTAAGTCCAAGTCCAAAGTGCCAGGCTCTAGGGGCTGGGTGAAAGCCCCTCAACCTTGGGGTCCTGCTCTGCCTCCTGCTCCCGGCCCACTGGAGCTAGAGGCATTTCTTCACTCAGACAGCTGCTGGCTGCTGAGGCTGACAAGCCCCAAGGTTGCCAAGTAAAAAGGCACAGTCCCGATATTACCAAACCACACGGCAGGCCATTAACTTAAGTCCATTGTAAGTCCCAAAGTCCATTGTAAGTCCCAGGGTCAGCAGAGCATAGCAGGCTGCTGAGCAATGACACGGCTACATGCAGGGTCCAAGTGTCCAAGTGTGCCAAAGGCTAGAGACCATTCCCAAGGCTTCTGCTTAAATACAGGAAGCAGACCACATTCCCTGAGGCAGCTACTCAGCTGCTCCCAGTAGATTCCACCATGGAGTTGATTACCAGTCTCATCATGGGGAATACTACATCCAGCTGCCCAGCTGCTCAACCAGGCCTAGCCAAGTTGACATACAAACATAACCATCACAGTGAGCAAAGGAAGAATGGTATTTATATGAGGTTGGAAAGTACTGAGAGGACAGATGTAGGGCTTTGTAGGTGTGTTAGACTGGGTTCTCTGGAGAAACAAAACCAGTAAAGCTTATATATATATATATATGTATATGTATATGTATATGTATATGTGTATGTATATATAGAGAAATTTATCTTAGGAAAATGGCTCACACACTTATAGATGTCAAGTCCAAAGTTCCTGGATCAAACGTCAAGCTGGAGGCTTTTCCCTACTCTTGAAGCCACAGGGGCTGAGGAGCTCAAGGCTGCAGGTAGTATACCGGCTGTTGACTCCAACAAATGATGAATCCAAGATCTCCAGGCCGAATGGTGGATTGTTCACTCATGGACAGTTGTAGGCAGCACAACAGAATCCCAATCCACAGAAGAATGTCTCTTTTCCCAGGATGTCCATAGATATACTGGAAGCAGGCCACACCCCTAGGGAAACTCCCTTTCAACAGATGGCCTGCTCAAAACATCTGATTCCATCATGGGAATAACCACATCACAACAGCTTAAACCACACAGAATTGTGGTCCAGCCAAGTTGACACACAGCTCCAGCTATCACAGTAGGCCATTGTAAGTAGTTTGGATTTTATTATAAGTACAATTGGAAGCCAGTAAATAGTTTTAAGCATGGATTATATGCTATGAATGTTATTTGCCCTCTTCTCTCCTTCTCTCTCGCAGTAAATACTTACTGTCCATTATTTGTAAGAGACCTCATCAAAGCACAGCCCCACTCTCTCAAATATGCTGTTTTAATACAACTAAGTATTGATGGGAGCTCTGGTAGCATAGTGGCTAAGACACTTGCCTGCTAACCAGACGGCTGGCGGTTCAAACCCACCAGCCACTCCTCGGAAGGAAGGTTGGGCAATCCTACTTCCGTAGTGATACTGCCTCGGAAACCCAAGGAGGGGTCGCTATGAGTCGGGGCCGACTCGACGGCACATAACAACAACAACAACAATAACAAAGTATTGATGGGAGTCAAAATACAAGCTATTTCTTATAGATTTAAAGTCTTCTGATGACCACCAGGTACTGTAAAAAAATAAAAATAAAAAATAATAATAAAGCCAGGTACTGACCAATTTTGAAAAATGACAACCTGCTTCAGCACTTGTCAGATTTTCATTCTTATCTAGGTTGACTTCTTATTTAATTTAATGTTGTCTAGAGACAGTATCTGAACTTTCTGACTTTGGACATTAGGGCATGTCGCATCTCTTTTTTCTTACCAAAGACCTAGTTTCTTCCTTGCAGTAACTTCTCCATGCTAGAACTCCATACTAGAACTATTAAGAAGAATTTTCTTCTCTGGCATTAATCTCTGGAAATGATTGAGAAACTCTCAGTTTAGAGGGAAAGTAATGAAAAAGACCAAACATGATTTTGAAGAGACGTATCCATAAATTTTAAGTGTCAGAAGCTGATAAACATGGTTCTTTTTAAAAACTTTGTTTTATTACGTACATACAGACATGAACATATCAGTTTTCACAAACTGACCATACCTATATACTTATTTGTCCGAAAAAAATCTCAGCCCTCACAAGGGAAATCACGTTCTTGACTTCCAGCCTCATAGATTAGTTTTATCTGTTTTTGAACTTTATGTAAATGGAGTTATATACTATGTACTCTTTTGTGTCTAGCTTCTTTCAGTTAATACTATGTTTATGAGATTTATTCATATTGTTTTGGGTAGTTATACTTTTTTACTCTCATTGCTACATTAGAGTCTATTTAGTGAATGTGTCACAATATATCCATTCTACTGTTGAACATTTGGGTTATTTCTAATTTTAAAGCTATAATGAACATTTAAAAAAAAATTTATTGTGATTTGGGTGAAACTTTACAGAGTAAATTTATCTTCCATACAGCAGTTCACATATGCTTTATCTCATGACATTGACTATAATCTCCCACAGTGCAACAGCCCTCCTCCCATTTCCTCCCCATAGTCACCTCTTCCCTGTGTTCTTAAACTCTCATACACTCCTGCCCCCCGAGCTGTCTCCCTGTGCATGCACAGCCCTTCTATTCTCCCATGATTGAGCTCTCCAAGGAGTGTATCTACCAAATGTCAATGTTCAGCTCATATGCCTATCTTTTGTTTGGCTGGAAACCACAGGAGTGGGTTCAATTCCAGATCTGAAAGGCAACTAGGGGCCATAGTCTCAGGGGTTTCACCTGGCTCTATCAGACCAGCAAACCTGGTCCCTCTTTATTTTATTTTTTAATGATTTTGAGTTTTGTTCCCCATTGTTTTCCCACTCTATCCAGGATGTCTTACATAGATCCCCCTCTGAGTGGTTGACAAGTGGTAGTTGGGTACCATCTAGTTCTGGTCTCCTAGTTGTATAGGCTGAGGATTGCATGATGTACCAGTCTTATGCATCTGGTTTTCTTCATTCTTCTTTGCTCTGGACGAGGAGAGAGCAGTCAATGCATCCAGGTGCCCATTTGCAAGCTTTTAAGATCCTAGTCACTAGTTGGCAAAGTAGGGTGTGGAACAATGTTTTGTGTAGTATGTTATGCCAATTGAGGTTGATATCCCCTGCAACCATGGTCCCAAGCCCACAAGTCCAACTACTCACTCCCTCTGGGTAGCTGGCTGTGGCCAAGAAGTGACTACAACCTTGTCCCTTGTCAGCTCTACTATATACCTAGAAATTCTTACAGAACATATAAATACACTTGTAGAACCCTTGCCAACCTTATATATGGTCATGGGCATACTCCCCCTTGCATAGACATACCTAATAGTTCAGCCTGTCCACTTACCTATACACTTGTATATCATTGTTTGCCATAACTGACAACGCAGTATTGTGTGTGCAAAAGGGTTTATCTTTTTTATATACTGAACATTCTTAAACATGACTTTTGGTGAACATATTTACACAGTTCTGTTGCGAATATACCCATGAGTTGAATTGCTGGGTCACAGGATATGCATATATTCAGCTTTAGAAGATACCAGTTTATACTAGTAGTAAATTCTCATTGCTCTGTATCTTTGCCAACACGCTATATCTTCTGTCTTTTGTTTTTCAATTTATTCGTTCTAGTTGGTTTGGAGTGGTATTGCATTGTGGTTTTATTTTGCATTTTCTTGATAACTAATGAAGTTCAGTATTTTTTCATGTGTCTGTTGATCATTTGGATGTTTTCTTTTATGAAGTGTCTGCTTAGCTCTTTTACCCATTTTTCTACTGTGTTTTTGTCTTTTTCTTATTTTATTGATTGTCTGTATTTCCAAATCCATTAATATTTCCTGCTTTTAGATACCTCCTTGTGTCTTATGATCTCCATGTAGCTGTGCTTAAAAATGTCATACATATATCCTTAACTGCTACATTTACCTTCCACCAGCCATTGTAGGGAACTGAAAGTTACCAGCAGAAAAGGTAAGGTAATTCATTATTAGCTAGTTTTTCTAGAATATAACCTTTCCTCACACCCTTGATTTTAACTACCTTGTGTTTTTTCTGCTCCCTTCCTTCTTTCATAGTTCTTGGGAAGTGTATAAATTGTTACTGGACAGAGGTAGAAGGTTTTCTCCCTTGACTTATTTTATTTATGAATTGTTTGATGCTATTTTTGATATCTTTGTACATTAGGCACAGGAGAACAGTAACTCCTTAAAGAAGAAGACGAAGTTTGTCAATTTATACACAAAAGAGGGACAGGACAAACTTGCGGTCCTGCTCCCTGGTCGCCACCCTTGTGATTGCCTGGGCCAGAAGCACAAGCTCATCAATAACTGCCTGATCTGTGGGCGTATTGTCTGTGAACAAGAGGGCTCTGGCCCCTGCTTATTCTGTGGCTCTCTGGTAAATTTTATTTTCTTTTACCGTGCTTTGTGTTAATAAACAAGCCCTAGTGGAACAGTGATTAAAAGCACTCAGCTACTAACTGAAAGGTCGGTGGTTCAGACCTACCAGCTGCTGTGCAGGAGAAAGATATAGCAATGTGCTTCTGTAAAGATTTACAGCCTTGGAAACGTTGTAGGGCAAGTCTGTCCTGTAGGGTCACTATGGGTCAGAATCAACTTAATGGCAGTGGATTGGTTTTTAGTTTTTTTTTTTTTTTTTTTTTAAGTGTGTTTTAATATGTAGGGCCATTTAGGCCCTTAGTAATTTCTTTTTTCCTTAGTAAATTTCTTCCTTAAGATGGCCAGTGAACTCAGCAGTAATTCAATTAGTCTAAAACCCAAGGTTATATCTTAGTTCTGAGGCTTGTTTGTAGGAAGGGCTTTGAAAAAGTACATTGTTGAGGGATCTAATTCTTATATCAGATTAACTTCAATTCAAGAGAACTTTAGGGCTTGAAATGGCAAAACATTTTGTCAAAGTCTTTAGATGTGGCTCATATCCTTAGGGGAACAGAGCCACTGTGACATAATCCTCAGGTCATTATAGTTTCTGTTTCTAGGACACCTCCTGTTATAGCTCTGCTCTGTCTGAGAGAATGACTTCAAGAATGTAGCACTAATGACTCTCTCACAAAAACCCTAATTAGCTGTCTAAAAAGCTTATACTGCCAGTTGAGCTGGCTGGCAGAAGCAGTGACATTTGGTGTTGGTGAAGGCATCCATTTTATATTGCTTTATTTTTCCTCCTTCTTTAATGAAGCCCTTAATTTTTTCCATATACTCAAAGAATAAGATGATAGACAATGTGTGACCTTAAAATGTAGTGTATACCAATAAAAATATTAATAAAATGACAGTAAATCTCTTCCCATATGGGCTCTCACTAGAGAGGTGCTCAACAGCTGCTGGTAGGAACTCTTTATGCTGTTGAGGCAACTGTTGGGAAGTACACTGTTTTTTCAAAGGTCCTTCGGATCCTTTAGTTTAAGAAACAGTAATGTAAAGCAGATTTGCTTAGAAGTCTTAAAGTTTTACAAGCTCAATAAGTAAATAATGTTCCAAGACAAAGAAAGAAAATACATAGTATAAAAGCTAGACTAGTTCTCATTGATTGCAACTATAATTTGCTGCATTTTGTGATTCCTTCTAAAAAGGCATCTCCTTATGATTTTTCTTGTAAGCATTAACCTTCAGGATTAAAAGTGGGAAGGCTTTATTTAAAAAAAAAAAAAGGTCTTGTGTTTTTTTCCCCCAATATTCTCAGTGGTAGTAACTCTTTGTCCTTTTAGAATAGGTTAGGTTTTTTTTAAAAAAAACCATCAAGTCATTCAGGACACTTGGGAGTGAGATCAGTTTTATTGTATGGCTTTGTCTTAGTTACCTACTGCTGCTATAGAAATGCCACAAGTGGATGGCTTTAACAAATAGAAATTTATTCTCTCATAGTTTGTTGTCACTGTTATGTGCCGTGGCGACCCCTCCTTGGGTTTCCAAGGTATTATCACTGCAGGAATAGATTGCCCAACCTTCCTTCCGAGGAGTGGCTGGTGGGTTTGAACCACCAACCTTCTGGTTAGCAGTCAAGTACCTTAGGCACTATGCTATTCAGGACACCAGCTCTAGGGAATGGGTTTCTTTCTCTGTGTTGGCTCTGGGGGAAGGTCCTTGTCTCCTTTCAACATCTGTAGGCCTGGCGTTCCTTGGAGATCTCTGTATTTCTTGACATCAGTCTTCTCATGTAAGTGGATACCTTGAAAGTACTGGATTTGAACCTAGGAGATTCCCAAAGCAGGGACCCTGGTTCCAAAGAACACACTCTTCTCCCAGCTTTTCTTTCTTGGTAGTAGCAGTCCCTCTCTCTAATCACTTCTGTCTTCTTTTACCCCTTGTAAGATAAAAGGTAATGCAGGCCACACTCCAGGGACAATCCCCTTATGTTGGATCAGAGCAATGGCCTGAGTGAAGGTATTGCATCCCACCCTAATCCTCTTCCATCATTATATAACTTCCACATTACATCATTGTATAACTGCCAAACCACTGAGAATCATGGCCCAGCCAAGTTGACATATAATTTGGGGAGGCACAATTCAATCCATGACAGGCTCATGAAAGAAGAGAGAAATAGAAAGAGACGTAGGGAAAAATTTGTTTGGATGTATATATTTTAGTATGTTTGTCCAGATTAAAAAAAAAAAAATACTAGCAATCTCATTTCATTGTAATATCTAATGTATAATTTGATGTTACTTTTCAGAATATTAAGCTAACATATAACTTTATTGGATCATGTAGTTTTGCTCTTATATTACTTTGTAGGTATGTACTCGTGAAGAACAGGATATTTTACAGCGTGATTCAAACAAAAGCCAGAAACTACTAAAGAAGCTCATGTCAGGTAGGCAGCATTCTTTTGATTGGATCACTGTGGTGATTTGTATATTTTGTTGTGTCTGTGATTATTTCTCTGTCTTGTATCCTAGTATGCAAGGTGTAGTTAATTCACCCATTTGTTCTACAAGCATTTGTTTTTTAGAAATAGATTATTAAAACCATAATAACATTGAGCAACAAAATAAATAACAGTAGTGTAGTGTAGTAAATTACTTTGTGTGGCTTCTCTACCCGTAAGTCTTTGTAAACTCCAAGGTGGGATTTGCTATGAGCAACTGAGGAGCTCTTGATTGCTGAAGGTGTCCACCTGGAGTATTTCTGTTGGGAGTGGCACAAAACAATGTTCTGGGAGGTGCCCACTCTCTCTCTCAGGTGCTTAGAGTTCTGATGCTATGATTGGCTAGTT